TGTCTTCAATAATTCTGTGTCATACAAAATCATAATATCACCATTATTAAAAGCACTAACTTATTTTCATCTTTAGCAGTGGATTTATTTCTTTGTGTTGCAATAATAGTGGGGTACATTAATCTATAGAAATGAGTTATAAATTAATATAATTTTCAAACAAATTGTTTTTGTACTTTATGAAACAGTAGACATGGACAACAAGACTAATAGTTAATAGAATCATCAATAAAGCTACAGTAATTGCAAGTCCAATAGCAGCACCACTTTCATTAGAATCTACCATTGAGTTGCAAACAATTGATCTCATTCCACATGATTCTATTAGTGTTTGGATTAACATGAAGAGATGAGGGTATACAGGGAGATGAGGTTATATAAAGAAATATTGTCAAACTAATAGCAATATATTCTTACTTGATAATGATGTCTTAGCTGATATGATACTTGAATTTGATGCTCCTAGTACATTACCAGCTCTCACTGTGATGGTATAGTTCGTACCACTGTACAGACCTATTAATGTGTAACTGTATGTTGTAGTGGACTGATGAGGAGCAACAGAGACTGTCTCATTCACTGATGATAACTGGGGACAAGATGGAGTATAGGAGATGGTGTAGTATGTTACATAGTTTTCACTACTAGGAATAGTCCAGTTCACTGTAATACTAGTGGTTGAGACATTAGATACTGAGAGACTAGTTACTGGACTAGGAACTATAGAACAAATATCAGTTACATTCTTTCAATGATACTTATAGCTCACCATCAAATTTTAGCACCGTTACTGTACTATTAACTGAAGGAAGATCTATATATGAGTACACACTGATAGTATAGGTACTCATTGGTGAAAGATCTGTTAGACTAAGTACAAATTTAGCTTCACTAGTAGATACTAAATTCCTGGCTACACCTCCATTAGTATACTCAATCACATATCCAGTGTCCAATGAAGTGGTCCAGTTCACTTTGATACTAGTAACATTTAATATAAAGCCTCTCACATTATTTGGAGGACTACTAGGAGCTAGAAAAGAGACAGAGGTATCTACTATTGATTAAAGTATAATAATACCATGTAATATCACATAGAGACTGTAGTTGACTCCTCCAATCATTGCTATACACGTAGCATTAACTGACACTCCCATTGGATCAGGATATACCAGTAGTGTATTGTTGTATGTCAGGACATCAATTGTTGTATACATTGAGTTACTTTTTATCACTCCGTTCACTAACCAGTAAACATCAGTTGAAGGATTTATATCAGTAGTTGTGATACAATCAAAGCGATATTGAGTGTTATTGAGTTGTGTAATGGGTGAGACTAGTGCCCAATTGATTGAATTAATAACTAGAAATACATCAACAATGTTACAAGTACATTAAAAGGTCCAGTAGCAATACCTGAGGTATGTACACTGATTGTACTAGCAGGTCCCAGTAATTGTTGATAGGCTCTGACTGTGATGTTATAAGTTGTTAGTTCTCTCAGTCCATTCAGTGTGATTGTATCATTACTACTTCCCTCCAC